TGATTGATAGATAGATAGATAGATAGATGATAGATAGATAGATAGATAGATAGATAGATAGATAGATAGATAGATAGATGATTGATAGATAGATATGGGGTAGAGAGAGAGGAATAGATAGTTGAGAGATGATAGAGAGAGAGATGGATGGATGGATGGATGGATGGGGATGGATGGATGGATGGATGGATGGATGGATGGATGGATGGATGGATGGATGGATGGATATTGTTATGTGGATCTGTAGCTTTTTCCTAAAATTTCATTTCACCAAATAGGCCAGTCAGAGGCCACAGAAGAAAAGGAAAGTTAAGTCCAGCGTCGTGCCCAATGCCAAATAATTGAGAAAATAACAAGGATTTGCGGAAAGTTTAAAAACTGAGCATCGTGATCACTGGCCAAAGAAGGGAAGGGCAAAAATAGTGGCAATTATTTTAGATTTGGGGGTGGGGTTTGTTTGTTTTTTGTTTTGTTTTGCAAAAACTGTAAGAAGTATATGTTTTCAAATAGATTTTGCAAAACAATCAATGTGGTGGGGAGGTGGTTTTCTCAAGTTACGAAATACAGAAAGAGAAACAGGGATACAAATATAGTAACGCCATTGAAGGTAATCTTATTAAGAACCGTCCAACAATATTTTCAGATTCCATTTAACCTTTTAGAGTTTGGTTTTGAGAGATGGTTCGTGCAAGTCATAAATAAGCAACTTGGGAACCGAAAACTCTCTTTGGGCTGGAGATGAACGTTTCTGCAGAGATTTGCGCTCTGCCTCCACCTTCTTGAGAACTTGGGCGAGCCGCATCTTTGCCCCCAGGGACTCCCTGTCTGGTGTGCTGAGTGTGTCAGAGGATCCACAGTTGCTCACACATGTTTCCACCACGCTCACACATGCCTTTCAGCCCCTCCTTTTTAGCAATTTAGCACTGCAAATTGGCAGGGGTTCACTGCTACTTCTGGTGAGATGTGATCAAGCTGGTCTCTGCTAACCAGTTAATTCTCTTTGTTTCTCGAAGTTTGTGGCCGCCCACTCACCAAGTGACTCTGGGGGCTAGAACCAGATTCCTTGCGTTCTTGCCACAAGCAGCCACAGAAGTCAGAAATCTGCTTCCTGCCCGCCGACAGGAAAATTATGCAAAGCACCCCCAAATTCTGACCTTGGGAGCTTCGTGGCCGAAACTGATGCAGTCTCTAAACTGCAGCTGAACTTCATTTTTGCAGCTTTGCAAGATCCCTTGGATGGCACTACCAGTTGTTGGCAATGCCACCAGGGAAAGGGGGTTGTGCTTTCCCTATTTTTTGTGGCATGAAACTCATGAACACTAGACAGTTGGCCTCAAAGTGGGTTTTATATAGTTTAAAAAGGAGGGGGGATTCATAGAAAACTAGAAAATTCCTATCCTGCCTTAACACTGATGTAGCTTCAACCTCTCTGTGGCTTTGCCTTGCCCGCAAGATTAAGCGTGACCCCAAGTCGCTTAGCAAGGCACCCTTCTTCAGTCTAATATCCTCCGTATATGTGACTCAACTCCCATAATTCTATAGCCAAAAGAGCTGTTGCTGAGAATTCTGGGAGTTGAAGTCCACCCATCTGGAGGACAACCAGCTTGGACCTGTCTTGGGCCACAGCACTGACGGTGAGAGAAAGCTCAGCCCCTCTGCTCATGGTTATCTCTTGGTGGGGTTCACACCATGCACTAATCCAGTGTTTTTCCAACTTGGCAACTTTAAGATGGGTGGACTTCAACTCCCAGAATTCTCAGCAACAGCTCTTTTGGCTATAGAATTATGGGAGTTGAGTCACATATACGGAGGATATTAGACTGAAGAAGGGTGCCTTGCTAAGCGACTTGGGGTCACGCTTAATCTTGCGGGCAAGGCAAAGCCACAGAGAGGTTGAAGCTACATCAGTGT